GTTCCTGGAGCCTTATTTTTCACTAGTCCTTCAGTGCAGCTTGGCCTTCTTCCTTCAGTACCATTGGTTCTTGATCATATGCCACCTCCTGAAATGGTTGCGTGTTGACCAATTCTTTTTGGTACAGTGACTCTGTGTATTCCTTCCATGTTCAGTATTTTGCCCATAGAATTCTTCAATATTGCACCTCAAGGCTTGAATTTTTCCTTCAGTTCTTTCAGCTTGAGAAATGACAGTGTGTTCTTGCCCTTTGGTTTTCTGAGCCCAGGTCTCTGCACGTTTCATTATGACAGTTTGCTTTATCCTTTGAGCTGCCCTTTGGAGTCTGTCATTCAGCTCTTTTACTTCATCATTTCTCCCGTTCACTTTAGCTACTCCCTGTTCAACAGCAAGTTTCAGAGCCTTTTCTGACATCCATTATTTTCCTCTCCTGTCTTTTAATGAGCTTTTGTTTTCTTCATGTATGATGTCCTTGATGTCATCACACAACTCTTCTGGTCACTGGTGGTCAATGTGTCAAATCCGTTCTTCAGGTGGTCTCTGAATCCAGGTGGAATATAATCAAGGTCATATTTTGTCCCTTGTGGACTTGTTTTAGTTTTCTTCAGCTTCAACGTGAACTTGCATGTGAGCCATCGATGGTCCGTTCCCCTGTTGGCCCCTGGCCCTGTTCTGACCTGGTAGTGAGCTTCCCCATCGCCTCTTTCCACAGATACAGGTGGCCTGGTTGCTGTGTGTTCCTTCTAATGAGGTCCATGTATACAGCCACTGCTTATGGTTTGAAAAAGGTGTGTGTAATGAATAAGTCTTTGGTCTTGCAAAATCTAGCATGCCATCTCCAGCTTCATTTCTATCACCAAGGACATATTTTCCAGCTACTTAAGATTCTTTTTTGTTTCCAACTTTTACATTCCAATCATCGGTGATTAGCAATACATCTTAACTGTATGTTTGGTCAGTTTCAGACTGCATACTAAATAAAATTGTTGTTGGTGGTGGTGTTATGTGCTGTTGAGTCGGACCCGACTCGTAGCAACTCCTCCTTGGGTTTCCGGGGCACTATCACTACAGAAATAGATTGCCCCATCTTCCTTCCAAGGAGTGGCTGGTGGGTTTGAACTGCCAGTCGTCTGGTTAGTAGGCAAGTGCCCTAGGCACTATGCTACCAGGGCTCCCAATAAAGTTGGTAAGAATCATTAGTTTCTTCATCTTTGGCTCTAGTGGTTGATACATAGATTTGAATAATGGTAGCATTAACTGGTCTTCCTTGTAGGCATATGGCTATTATCCTATCACTGACGGCATTGTACTTCAGGACAGATCTTGAAATGTTCTTTTTGACGATGAATACAGTGCCGCTCCTCTTCAATGTATCATTCCCAGAATAGTAGACCATATGATTTCTAATTCAAAATTCAAAATACTTTCTTTCAATTTGAAAAGTCGTAGGTAAAAAAATTGATTTGAACATCCAATTTTGTTCTTCTGGTCCCAGGTGGTCAAAAGAAATAGTAGTTACAAGGCCGTGGGGATCATCTTGTTCATTTGTCCTGTGGTATTTGTTGGTGGGCCCTTTGCACATCTCCACAAGTGTCTTCATCTTGAAATAACACGTAACCGCGTGCCCCCTCACTGTCCATCCTTCGCTGCTGCATCTTCACAGTTCTTTGGAAAATGGCCGGTACCCGCTGGGGCGACGGTGATCACAGAGAGCGTGATACAAATGCAATGGTGTGCTCGATCTGAAAATGCGTCTTGGTTCACCTTGTGTGGGACCAGATGCAGCGTGAGTCACATGGTTGAAGCCACTGGCTCATTCTTATGTGGTCGACAATAGAGAACTGAATGTCAGGTTATACCTGATTGGTCCAAAATGAGAAGGAAAATACACATGTTACTGTTTACAGAGTGTATAAAATGGGCATTTTATTTCCTTATGGAGTTGTTCAGCTCCCGCAGGAGATACCTACGCAATTGACATAACAGCGGCACTGCTTCTCAGTGAGCAAGTTTGCTTAAAGAGTTGTAGCGGTTCTTCAAAGAACGCCACTCTAAAGGGAATGGAAGATGAAATCCGTTTCTATGGTTCTTATTATCTAAGTACTGGTTCACGTTATTTGCTCTAGGATTGTTGACTTTCCTTACAAGGAGGTAGGGAATTATTTAGATCAAATATAATGTTTTGATACACCTTTTGTTGCTTTCTTGGATAATGAATTTAGAAACACTCACTGTTGTAAAACAGAAACAGGTTTTGTACAATGAATAAATACTGAATTCTGAATCCTCTCAATGTGCCTGGCACCCGTTTATCAGAGTGTGTAGAGTCATGGCAAGCACTGTGTCCTTTGTGACACGTGATAAACAACGAGACCCACTTGATACAAACGCTACAACTTTTCATGGTAATACTCGTATTTCCATTATTTATTTATTTATTTATTTATTTTTTAATTGTGATTTGGGTGAAGGTTTACAGAGCAAATTCACTTTACAGCAGTTCACATACACTTTGTCTCATGTCATTGATCACAGTTTACCACAATGCAACAGCTCCCCTCCCACTTCCTCCCCATAGTTACCTCTTCCCAGTGTCCATCCCTCCATGCACTCCTGCCCCCTATGCTGTCTCCCTGTGTGTTAAGCAGCCCTTCTTTCTCCCATGATTGTTCTCTCCAAGGAGTGTATCTACTTGAGGTAAATGTTCAACTCATATGCCTGCCTTTTGTTTGGCTGTTATTTCCATTATTTTGGGATGTTGGCTTAGTCATTAAATTATTACCTATGTTAGTATTGGGAGCTCTGGTGGCGTGGTGCCTAAGGCATTTGACTGCTATCCGGAAGGCTGAAGGTTCAAACCCTCCAGCCACTCCTTGGAAGGAAGACTAGGCAATCTACTTTCATAGAGATATTGCCTCAGAAACCCAAGGAGGGGTTGCTATGAGTCGGATCTGACTTGATGGCAGTGAGTTTGGTTTTTTTAATGTTAGTATTATATTTAGTATATGCTAGATTGCATCTGTGTATGCCAAACATATATTAAAGTTGTGATATTATTGTTTATGAAACTTAGGACATAACTCTGTGTAAATGCTATGCAGTTAGAAAGTAACTTGATGGACTTCATTGCAGTGATCAACTTATTCGAGCTGTCTCACTTTTGCGCATCATCTGGGACTGGAGTTCCCATTGGTTGTTTGCCAGAACGTGCACGAGAGCATGCCCTTCTGTGTGTATCATGGCAGCGAGTGCTGCTGGCCATCCTGGCTAGAGCTGCTGGATCTGTGGATGTGGATGTACGAGAGGGTTCTCTCCACATGGATCAGAGACTTGCTCTCTGTTAATACAATCACCCCTGCCCAGTAGCCACTCACGTTGAACCCAGCTGCGTATTGGGTGAACGTAGCACTGACATCTAGGAAGAAATCCTATCTCCTCAGAGACTCACTCGGACATGCACGTGGCGACTTGAGATGCTCTCGATGACGATAGTGCAAACAGTCTTCTTGTGAATGTGTTCATGAGCAGTTAGACAGGAAGCAGTACAGTTTTGGGGTCTTTAATAACGAGCTATTTCCTTTTCTTCCTTAGGCCAGTATTTCAAGGACAGACATGGCAGCCTTGAGCCCTCCCTGAGAAATGGGCCCACTGGCCTAACGAAACATGCGTCTGGTCTCGGAGACGAGGCAACATGCGTAGAACGGGGGAGCCAGGGCGACGTCGGACGCGGAGCGTGGAGGTCGCCCGGGGGCGCGCGGGCTACGGCTTCACTGTGTCTGGACAGGCGCCCTGCGTGCTCAGCTGTGTCATGCGGGGCGGCCCCGCGGACTTCGTTGGCCTGCGCGCCGGAGACCAGATACTCGCCGTGAATGAGATCAACGTGAAGAAGGCGTCTCACGAGGATGTCGTCAAGCTGATAGGGAGATGTTCAGGCGTCCTCCACATGGTGGTCGGCGAGGGTGCTGGCCACCTGGAGTCCTGCTCCAGTGACGAAGAGGTCGGGTTTTATGAAGGAAAGGGCTGGCTGAAGCCCAAGCTTGATTCTAAAGCGTTAGGTATAAACAGAGCCGAGAGAGTCGTTGCAGAAATGCAGTCCGGGGGCATTTTCAGCATGATTTTCGAGAACCCTAGCCTGTGTGCAGCTCCTCCGGAGCCCTTGAAGTCTAGACAAAGACCCCTGTCCGAGTCGGCCGCTGTGCGATGGGACCCTGGACGGGAAAGGGGCGCCCTGGCCCACCCCGGCGTGCTTTCCAGGGAGGAAGCAGTGAAGGTGAGCCACGATGCCGCGGTGTTGAGCGTGGACCTAGACGGTCACGAGGAGTTGGTGTTGGATGCGAGCATTTTGAACGTGGCCATGGTTGTGGGCTACCTGGGGTCCATCGAGCTGCCCTCCACCAGCTGCAGCCTGGAGGACGAGAGCTTGCAGGCCATCCGGGGCTGCATGCGGCGCCTGCGGGTGGGGCAGAAGGTCCACTCGCTGGTGGCCATGAAGGTCATGCACGACTGCGTGCAGCTGTGCACCGACAGGGCGGGCGTGCTGGCCACCTACCCCGCCGAGAAGCTGGCCTTCAGTGCCCTGTGCCCTGACGACCGGCGCTTCTTTGGGCTCGTGACTATGCAGACCAGTGACGACGGGAGCCTGGCGCAGGACGAGGAGGGGGCCCTGCGGACTTCCTGCCATGTGTTCATGGTGGACCCCGACCTGTTCAATCACAAGATCCACCAGGGCATCGCGCGGCGCTTTGGCTTTGAGTGCACCGCAGACCCTGACACCAGCGGCTGCTTGGAGTTCCCCGCCTCCTCCCTGCCGGTCCTGCAGTTCATCTCCGTTCTGTACAGAGACATGGGCGAGCTGATCGAAGGCATGCGCGCCCGGGCCTTCCTGGACGGTGACGCGGACGCCCACCAGAACAACAGCACCAGCAGCAACAGCGACAGCGGCATCGGGAACTTCAACCAGGAGGAGAAGAGCGCCCGTGTCCTCGTGGTTGACCTGGGCGGGGGCCCCAGCAAGCACGGCCCCGCTGGTGGCGCTGGGCGGGAAGGCGTGGCTGGGAGGGGAGCTCCCCCCTGGGCCCCCCCCTGGAACGGCACCTTCTGCCACGACCAGGAAGGGAGTGGCCCCTTGGAGGGCCCCCCGCAGACAGACAGGTTCCGGGACTTAAATAAGCATCTGGGACCGGGTTCCCACGGGGAGCTTCCGCCGGCGGCGCCGCGCGGCTCGGTCCCTCCTTCCAAGCGGAGCGGGCTGGGGACGGGCAGCGGCTCCCACCAGAGGTGGCTCCCGGTCCACGTCCTCCAGGAGTGGCAGTGTGGCCACGCCAGCGACCAAGAGTCCTATACCGATTCCACTGACGGGTGGTCCAGCATCAACTGTGGCACGCTGCCCCCGCCCATGAGCAAGATCCCGGCCGACCGCTACCGGGTGGAGGGCAGCTTCATGCAGCCCCTGCTGGGCGCCCAGAAGAGCGAGTGGTCCAGGAAGGCGTTTGCGATGCCGAACATTTTTGGTCCTCATCGAAATGTGAGAAAGACAAAAGAAGACAAAAAGGTAAGCCCTGTGAGTGGTTCAGCACCAGTAGACTTGATCTCACGAGGG